AGAAACGTGAGAATGGAAGAAGCATTGCGAAACTTAGTGATGAATATGGGATGGCTAAATCGACTATATGTACGATTTTGAAGAATAAAGAGGAGTTAAAAACTGTGCAAGTGGCTAAGGGAATCTTTAGACTTAGCAAAGCAAAGTGTAATGTGATTGAAGAGATGGAAAATTTACTCTTAGTGTGGATAAAGGAGAAAGAAATGGCAGGTGGTAACATTAGTGAAGCTATAATTTGTGAGAAGGCTAAACAATTGTTTGAGGACCTTAAAGCCAAGACTCCCAGTGGAAGTGATAGTGATGTGCCAGTGTTTAGGGGTACCTGCATGCTGAATAACACTAAGGTAAGATAAAGTACCGTATTTTTTACATTTTCCACAGAATTTTTTCAGTGTTAAGTGGTTGTATTTGGGGGCCTGGAACGGATTAATCCTATAACGAACGAATGCTATAACGAACGAGGTTCTGGAACCAATTACGTTCGTTATAGCATACCCCACTGTATATATATATATATATAATATATATATATAATATATAATATATATATATATATATGGGGAAGATTAATAAAAAAAATTTTTATGAAATGAACAACACTTACTGAATACTGTACAGTGGTCTAATCAGGTTTGCTTTAAGCTTACTGAGAACTAAGACACTTGAGTATGTAAACAGACTGGGGCTGATCAGGTGTTGCCACATTCATTAGGTTTATTTTATTTATTGATTCAGTATTTATTCTCATATGATTGGCCTCTTATGGTTTATGGTTCATCGTGATTAATATAACGTCTTCATTAATAGAAAAAATACAATACTATATGTAATTTGTAATATGACTTGAAATTAAAAGGATAAGCTGTATCAGAAGGTTATTTACTCAAGATCCGTTAGTGTGAGAGCTTTCAGCAGACCAGCTTACAACAGGGGTCACTATAACACACTGTGTAGTATTTGATATGGAAAAACCTGTTATGAAAACAAAGGTAAGCACTGGGAAGCTTTACTCAACTTAATGCAACATCAGTATCCATAGATCTGTAATAAACAGGATAAACAGGAATTACAAATTAAGAATGACTAAGCTTCAAGTAACAGAATTGGCTATACACAAATAAACATAACATAAGAAATATAAGAGAACTTCAAACAATATAATCTAGAGCACTTAACCAACTAGGCATAACACGGCATTCACCCTGCCTTTAAAACAACCATCAGCATACAATTACAGTGCATAATTGCCCAGATAGGACGGCATATGTCTGGAACGCAGCGCGCGACGGGGAGGGGGCTGAGTTGGTGATGCATCTGGCTGCCAATTTCCCGTGGTCTGCCATTTACAGCTGCTCGTCCCTCTCAGCTACCGGGTGTTCATTGAGACATTCATCTAAACTTTGTATAGGAACACGTTCACTGCTGGCCTTGTCTTGAAGTGTCTCTGTGCTTGATTCAACACCTTTGGGCGCGAGATGGTGCAGAAACACTGTGGTTTCCTCTCCATCTGGAAATCTGATGCTCACATATTGCGGATTACATCAAGTAATTCCACCTCGTCCACCAATGCATCATATTTACTGTAACACTTTGCACTTGAGATACACAGGCTTTTGAGTCATTAACCAGGTGGGTATTGCCCATCCACTGGCCGATCTCCGTTGGTAGTCAAACATCCGTTCGAGAGGAGTGGTATTAGTGGCAGTTGACAGCAGCGAGCGAATGCAGTGGAGAGCATCCCTGAGGACATCTTCCCAATGAGTAGTAGGTAGATTTCTGGATTTCAGGGCGTGTCACCGCTCTCCAGATGATGCCATTATAGAGCTCCACTTGACCATTGCCCTGGGGGTGGAATATCCCAGCCTATCTCTGATTGTCCCAAGCAAATCATCTGGCGATGGGTATCCCAAGTCCTTTCCTGATTTAAAAAACTTAGGAAATCAGTGATGAAAGCTTTAACTTCTACTGTCAAAAGTTTTCATCTTTCTATGCCTCTTTTTGGCACCAGCACCCAGCAATCAAATACACATGACGATACCAGATAACTAATTTATTTATACTGTACCTACATTAAAGACATAACCGTATAATTATATTAACTTTATACTCACATTAAAATGATCTTCACAACAGTAGAAGCAGTGCTCTTGGGAAACTTCTCTTCATTTCCCTTGGTACTAAGACGAATATGTTTCCTGGTGTGGCTCTGTCTGTACTCTTACACATTGGAGCAAAGCACCAACTAGGCCTTTTTCTTTCTTGAGCATTATTTTTGGTCAAAGGTGGCTGCCAAAGTGTGCAGATCAACTGCATAATTCCCGCCCTTGCTTCACCACCAAATGGTGACGTCACAGCTAATCACTGGGCGTTTTGCAGTCACATGACTTCTGAGCAACTTTAACCCTTATTCTTCATACTGTTTGGCATATTTTATTAGAAAATATGGTTACCATAGTGAAATTCAGCATATTTTTTACTAGAAGTAGTTTTTTTTTTAAACATGGAGACTTAAATTGTCTATTGTAGTACATCTGAATTAAATAATTATCCATGTGGGTCTCTAATATTATTTTAATTCTAAATGGTAATAAAAAACCCTGTGATACAGCATGCCCTTCAAATTCGCGGGGATTAGGTTCTCAAAATGGCTCTGAATAACATTTGCTGACTTGGGGGGGGTATATTTTTACTTGTGTACAAAGAAATGTATATTCCCTTTACAGTCTCTCCTCGACTTACGACGGGCTTCTGTCGCGATGACCAGGTCGTAAGTCAAAAAGGCGAAAATAATACGTATTAATTGTAAAATGGGTGTCTCCTTTTCTTCTCAGCACCACGAGAACTCTCACTTTTATGCTTGCCAGCCATTTTAAAGGGAATTACAAACGAAAATTTTGTCAGTACACAGCGCGATCACTAACGTCGGGACTAGAAAATAAGTAATTTGAAAAATATTTTATACGAAAACGGCGGTTGTAAGTACGGGTAGTCGTAAGTCGAGGAGTACAGTGGTCCCTCGGTTAACGAACACAATTCGTTCCAGAAGGTCGTTCGTTAACTGAATCCATTGTTTCAATGGGATATTGGGTAATTGGTTCCAGCTCACCGAAAAATACATACAAAGTAAAAAAAATGCAGTAAAGTACACTTACTTTGAGGTATGTATGTAGAAGGCTCCTGGTTGATAATGATGATGGGAATTAGAAGTGGGGGTGGAGGAGAAGGGAGAAGAGAAGGAAGTGGGGGTGGAAGAGAAATCACCCCATGCTTGATGCCGTCATTTCACCAATAAAATTTTAAGTTCACTTGGTGTAATTCAAGATTATTTTCTTTAAATCAACACTGCACTGCACTATAAATTGTCAATATATTAAATAAATTTCAGAATGACCAATAATTGTACTGTAAAAACATAAAAATACTGTGTTCAAGAGACCTACAAGCAAGATGTTTCCTCCACTGAACAGACACACAAACTGACGCCATGGTGGGTGAGTGAAGTGGCTGATGGGCGCACCAAATACTAGTTCCCTGTACTGCAATTATGTTAAATAAGTGTTAAAATGACTAATAATTTAAATGTAAAACTTGGGAAAATATTGAATAACACAACCTTCTTGATATTTACTCCAATGGAAACGAATATAAGCCCTAGAACCGATTACTGCATTGGCGGACTAATATTCCAGCTGGTGAGCAAGCAAAAGAACATGTTGAGAGGAATTCGCTAACCGAATTTTTTTCGCTAACCGAATTGAAGATTCTTATGGAAGGTAATTCGTTAACTGAAATTTCATTAACTGAGGCGTTTGTTAACTGAGGGACCACTATACCTGTATATGTTTGCCCTTAAGACATTTATTTATTTTACCTGTATTGTATATATATGTGTGTGTGTATAGACACACACACACAAAATACATACATATGAATAATAATGGGAAAATCCTCTCAAAAATAATTAAAAAAATTTTTTATTAAAAATGTTGAGTCTACCATCAAGTCCACTCAGTACTTTATTGATAACAAAGCACAAAGTAAAATTGAGGGTAGACTCAACATTTTTAATAATTTTTTCTGATTATTTGTAAAACGATTTTCCCATTATTATTTATTTGTATGTGTTTTGTGTGTGTGTGTGTGTGTGTCTACACACACACACATATACAGTATATATACAATACAGGTAAAGGAAATTACTGTCTCTAGAACGAATGGCTCCCAGTCCAGGCCGCAAAAATGCCAGCAACTTTCAAACTACCCTTACACATTCTTTGGTAAATCCAGGGTGTCATCTGCGAATAATAGACCGTGAAATAAAAATCCGCGAATTATCCGAGCGTACTGTACTCTATGCTGTGAGAAATAAGACAAGAAAATTAGATTTTATTTTGTGGAATAATGTAGAAAGGAAAATATCATCTACTAATGTATAAAAGAAAAAAAGAACAGTATCTGTTCATGAACATGAGAGCTACATAGAAATATATCCAAGACAATTGGCATGGTGGCATCATAATCACCACCTATTGTATAATGGCAGGGTAATATATAGGGGCTGTTCAAGGATCACATCCCATGGAAGAAAAAAAAAATGTGCCCCTTTGAACTTTCTGGTTGCATCCGCCCCCTCCGTGTATAACCCTGATTATGGGCCCAGCCCATCTGCCCCCTCCTCCCCCAGTATGCCACTGGTGTACACTAATTGACATTACATCACATCCTCGTTGGACCTCCTCCCTCTAGTATACTGGAAGAAAGCCCTTTGCCCTATTCTTCCTTTCAGAATAACAGCTACAATAAGGAGTGAACAGACTAACTCTGGTAGTCCCAGCCACTCACAATGGCCTTGTGAGGTGAGTGCATTACATGAATTATCTAGTGATGGGTAACTGGCAATAAAACCAATCCTATATGTTACTACAATCTAGCACAATGTTTTGGTGCATATAATCCTTGTTGATACTCTACCTTTCACTTTAAGGATATTGAAAGAAATATAAATTTAGATAGTACATTACCATTCCAGCATGACAGTACAACACTGTTAACACAATAATACCTCACATAGTCTAATAACATTCTTAATAATAGCAAAAAGCTATCTTTGACTATGTATACATTTATGAAAGTACATAATACCATATAGCAAAATACAGCATTAATCAGAGCACATATAACACATAACCCACATGCTCCTTTAGTCAACTGTTGACTGAACGGCCCTTCAACATTGCCCAATCACAGTAAAGCCACAAAAGGAATTTTCCATCTCACTTTCAACATCATTATCACTCTTGCACTGTTTTAAGTTAACTTTTACATTTTCAGTTTCAATGCACAATTTTGTTTTCAGTTAAACCACTTAGGCCAATGTATACTGAGATTCCTCATGACAAATGGAACTATTTCCTTGGGCTCTAAATTATACTACTGGAGAACTAGGTCAAGAGCTCATTCGATTTTCAATGTTAAAAAATTCTTAAATTTGGTCAAAAAATCTTCTTTAACAATATAATAACATATTAAACTATTAATACTAATTAAGAGACCATTCATCTCCCTTAACCTAAACTTACGGTCTGACCTTGATAGTGCTTTACAAATACTAACTTTTCACAGTGATGTACTGTATACAGTAACAATATTTTTTGTACACATTTATTTCCATTATCAATACCTGTATGTTTAATTATCATAAAATCAAACCCTCTATTTCTTCATTGTATTAATTACATTTTTCCTGAAAAAAAACACAGTCTAAACTAATGTCACCTTTCTATGTACAGTACAGAGTATACTGTATCAAAAATTTTGCTCACCTAGAAACTATTTCAATCTTTTCTTACATTAAGGTGCCATTATTCTATGACAAGTAAAAATATTTTCTTGAGAAACTCTTATGGATGAAAACACAGTCCAACCTCAATAACTCATAAAAGAGGTCATTTATATCTTATAGTACTGTCCAATCCTACAAATCTATAATACTCAGTCATCAGTATTCTTCCAACTAAAGTAAATATCCACCTGGAGTCACACACACACACACACACACATGCAAATAAATCACTGTAGGTGTGCGTGATCCATGTATATGTTGATAACCTCATACATAAAGCCACAACTCGGTAACACCTTTGCTTTGGTTTAAGTTAAATCAGTTTTCACTTCATTTGTGACAATCCCTCTAACTGTGAGATTTCAATTTCTAAAACCATCAGAAATCCATAAGGTTTGGTTGAGAGCCAAAATCATATAAAGGTTCACTGTTGTCACTATGTGTGTGTGTATGCTGAGTCAGGATTACACTGATAACTCTATGTTTCATTCATACTAAGTCAATGCCAGAAGACTTACATTATATGATCTTTTATTTTCTCATATTCTCTGTTATTCAGCTTGTTACTTCAGTATGTGATCAATGAGGATACAATACCCTACAGGCAATGGAAAATCTATAAAGGGTTTATATAAATGAAATTTCAATGAACCAAAAATTATACAGACAAATTCATTTGGAACGTGACTACATTTGTTTTATCTTAAAAACTGCAGACGAATATTATGAAATTTTCATAAAGATTTAAAAAATACCTCATATATTTCTAATTACAATTCAATGCTTACTATCTGAGCAACAAACATCAAGTTGCACTATACCCTCATTAATTCGACATAAAAAAGGGGCTCTGGGTCACTTGAATTACTGAAAAACCCAAATTAACCGAGTTCAGAATATTTTAACATTATTAAAAATTTCCTAATTTTTTAGTTTGATTATTCGTTCACTTTCTGTTCAGATTTTGCGCCTTGCCTTGGCTGCCACATAACATGATTTATTTATAATTACTGTGAAAACATAAATATTTTTTTAATGTACATACAGTAATAATAAAGTAAATAATACAGTAATAAATAAATGTAACACTGCGAGGTGAGCTGACGAGGCGCAGGGTAAGATGACAAGAGGGTAAAGTGACGAGGCAGGAGGTGAGTTGGCGTGACAACTGATCAATGAATAAACCAGGGCATATGGAGATGCATTATACACTACATAATATTTATTAAGTAATGATATTTACGCTACAATATTATTTGTTAAGTGCCCAAGACAGATCCTGTGGTAAGCACCAACCCCCCCTTGAGCAGTTACAATGATAGTGATTGAGAGATGGTGAGTGCTGGAAACATTATGAGGGAAAGCAGGAATGATCAGCTGTTACTGCTCTGTAAACAAGAGACTGGAAATTTACTATGGTGCCACAGCTCATCTGGGATTGAGTGTGGGATGTTTGGGGGAAAATTAACCCAGCACCAAATGAACCTAAACAACATGGGAATTATTGTGTACTGTCATTATAAATAGATCGCTGTTTAAGAGCACAGGAGGTGAATTGTCCTCTCCTCCCTCCTCCTCCGCCACCTCCTCTCCCCAGCTATGCACCCAAACGTAGTTTTGTACAACATCTTAATATAATTCATAATATATTCCTATAATTCATTCATCTTAATCTATTTCATAACATTCCAATAATAATTGACTTTTCGGAACCGCTCAGTTATTCTCTTCAAATCGTTTAATTCATTTTTTAAAAACAAACAAAAGCATATGAACTGTAAGCCAAAATCCGAATTATAACGTTCCGATTTAATGAGGGTACAATGTGTATGAAAAAAAAAATATTGCCTTATTAATCAATCATAGTCTGTGAATAGCTATGTGTAAATGAACTATGATTCACCTGTAAGTACAATACTGTATACCAGTACCTGTACTGAAGAACTCTTAAGCAATTATGATATAAAGACAGGGACGAACCCAGGCACCAATCTGGAGGGGGAACAAACCTGACATAGCATCATATAATGTTTCATATTATCAGATATTAAATGCCAGTTGAGAGTAACAAACTTTAGTTTCTAACAATGAAATAAATCAAATCAGTAATTACTGTTCATGTTGGGTTTTCATTATTTTATGATTTTGTCAGGAATTACAGCAATGTCTTTTTTATTTACTAAAAAATGTGACAAAATGTAGCCTTATCATTATTATGACAAATATGTCAGTATGACTGAAAGGAAATAATTACAGTGTGGATGGTGAACAAGACTCATACACAGCTCTTCCTCATATCATCAGACTTTTTTTCCTTATATGAATCATGGAAGCCAGGATCTCCTGCTTACAGGTTTACAATATACAGTAAATCATCATGAAATCAACCAATTGTCTCAAAATGTTTAAAAAAATGCCTCTCCTGCTGGGGGAGCTATCGCTCACTCCAGATCTCCAATTTTATTGCCTCACACCTTTGGTGCTTGCACACACCCCCCCCCCCCCCACACATGACTTGGGTACCGGTATGTGGTACTGTTGCATCAGGTTTGCACTCCCCCCAAGATTGGTGCCTGGTTCTGCCACTGATAGATTTAAAATTGTTTGATCTAATGATGAAATATTTGTGTTCATGAGCAATACTATATGATCTCCAGGTCCTAATCGGAGCCTTCTACTGTCCTGAGGTGGTTACAGCTTCCATCTAGGACAAAAGCAACTCTAAAGAAACTAAGGAGAGGGACCACAAGATGTGACAGCTGCTGATCTACACAGTAGATATATGCTGGCATGGAAGAAGGGAGGTAATTCATCCTAGATGAGGCAAGAAGAACATCAAGGGTATGTATGAATTTCAGTTTCTTTTGGGGGAAGACTGAGGTGTGAATCATCTAACTCACTGATGAGTGGTATAATTTAATTTAAAACTAACTCTGGTGTAAGTTCCACCAAGTTGTTAGTTCAACAGTACACCCTCATTAACTGCAACATACTCTACTAAATGACAATAAATATATCTTCTTGAGGTTGGACTATGTTAGTTTTAATCATCATTATGCTTAATAAGCGTATTTATCCTATATAGATCCTTTTCCATGATAATTTCTTTTCATATTTCTATGGGAATATCATGTGCATCTTCTGCATAAAATTGTAATTTCCAATGTCAATAGGCCATCAAAAATATCAGAAACCCTAAATGTCTACAAAAAGGACTACTGACCGTGAAACTTAGCAGGTGTTTGTACAGTACTGTACTTAGCATCACTATTAAGCAATTGGACCCGGGGACACACATGTCCTGTTTATGCTCACCACTCGATGGAAATCCCCCAATCTTGGTCTTTCTCACAGAATTTAACTTCTCAAGGACAATCAACCAAAGCAATAATATTTATATGTCACTCGTACAAGTGTACTTGAGAAATGCCTTTGATCCAAAGACAATCATTTACATTTCAAAATATCAGTGTCATTTCTGTAATAAATTTATGCAGTGGGAATGGATGTTACTCATTATTAAACTGTCTACATGGCAATATCTCATCAAGTATTCATATATAAACTTACAAAAAAAAAGCAAAAACATTATAAATATTAAAATTTTACTAAAGAAATTTAGAGAATAAATGTCAGAAAATATATATACCAGTACACGGCTACATCCTTTCCTGCATCCAAAATTTTGAATGAGTGTATACCATACATACGAGAGTTCCATGCTAAGGTTTGATGCTGAGTTACAGGCACACAGCTGCCACATTGCCCAGTCCTGTCTTGACCAGAACACACTACCCTGAGTCTCATGCTGGCTAATATGCCTAAATACAAATACAACCCATTTGACAGACATCAGTATAAAGGATATAAAGGCTATTACTATACAGATTACTATTAGTTTACTTCTGAGGCTAAGGTTCTCAGATCATGGTACATGATCTGGTCATGGTACTAGTTCTTATAACCTGTAGTGATCAGTAAATTAAACAACAGAGATTAGCTGAATGTCAGTATATATTATGTTAAATGTCCATCATTACTCTAGTAACAAAAAATTATTAAATATGTTGATGATAACTTATGACATTTCAATAAATTAGAATTTAATTGATCTTTGTGAATAAGTTAGTCATATTATCTTTTGTCAAAATTTTAAACTTTACCATTAATACATCTTAGTAAAAATCCACACAGAGTACCCAGTACCTCTATAAACGTAATTATTGGCTCAAAGTAAAATGTAGCATCATAAAATTCTTTATATCTTTCTAAATCAACTGTATAACAGCTGCAGGTTCTGCCCAACATGATGCTCGACATTATTTTAATGAAGAGATATTTAAATTACAATTAAAACCATGTTCAGGACTTTGAGGATCATTTTCACAGATGTTAATGAGTGCCATGTGTCATAATCTAATAATAATACTAACTGAAAAATCTAGAAAATTTCTGCATGGATCAACACGGTCTTCATACTGATGCACAAGTCCAAAGTTTTGTTTATAGTATGGTGACAAGCCTTTAGCTACAGCTTCAGTATACAAGTAAAGCTTCAAGCAAACCCTGGACCCAATATAAATTTTAGAGTAAAAAATGGAATTGGTTCATTTTAAAAATTTTCATCATGGATAAACCTGTACTAAATATAAATATTTTGGCCACATATTTTGGCTGTAGACATGCCAATACTCTCACAGGCAGTTTAATCAACACGTTTTTTATCCATAAAATGAACAGAAATGCAATTGACTTGTTTTGAAGACCATCAGTCTGGTCCTGTCTAGTAGTGATAAAATATAACCCACCAACACTGTTAGTTGCCTTTCTTTTGTTGCATAGTGAAAATACACTCATCAGTTAATTCAGGGAAGACTCTGACCATTCTTTCTGGGTTCATGAGCACTTGGCCTGAAGCTCATGAGGGGGTGTTAACAGCTGCCGACTGCATGATGAAAGCTGGGACTGGGTGCTGGTACTACCTGTTGGCACTGCTTTACTACTCAACCCTGTAAATGGCAATGTTTCAACCAGTTAATGAACTGACTTATTTCCAGTCTTATACTACATGTCGCAAAATGAATATTAGTCAAACAAGTCATTATACGCGTGAGAACCTATTCAAAATTACAGATTTGTCACAGGAAAAATGACAGGTAATAAGTCACATGTTTTAAATAACTTATACTGTAGTATAAAGTAAAGTAATTAAAAAACAAACATTTGTGCTATTTCTTAATAAGCATGTGTAGGCTAGGTAACTGTAACTTTCTTTTCTGGCAATCTTACATACATCCTTCACTCGAAGTCTTATACCAAAGTTTCTTACACCCAATGCAAAACATTGTACAGTATTTTTGCAATTTAACAAACTAATTCGAGCCACCCCTTTATGTTAAATCAAAATTTCCGGTAAATTTAACTTTCCGTTAAATGGAATTTCCGTTACTTTCGCTCAATTTACCAAACTATTTCACTAAATTGAGCATGATTTCGTTAAATTCTGCACCAAATGTGCCACACGTCGCTTGACGCACCAGATTTGTTTACATCTGCTCAGTCTGTGTCCTGCTGTCACTGCGTGTGTTGTTCACTGCTACCTCTCGATGATCAACTAACTACACTGGAGCACCTTAGCTTTCGTCTTTATTCAAGGCATCTTCAGTGGCAACTGAATTTACAGGAACTTTTTTTTTTACGGGGAACAGCCTACCTGGGCACAAGTCATCGACCCACAACAGGGCCAAGAGGGCGAAAAAACAAGAGTAAAGAGAAATGAAAAAAGAAGAGAAAAAGATTGTACAGTATTAATCTACACCACAAAAATGCCAGAAGACCAGTTTTTTGAAGTGAGATAGATTGTAAGAGCATGGAAACACAGAAGAAGGCAGAGCATTCCACAGTTTGGCTGTGTGAGGAAAGAAGGAGGTACTATAACGGGCTATTCTCGTGTGACCGACATCCACAGAGAAATGGTGGGCACCGCGGGCAAGACGTGTGTTACGAGCCTACAGTCTTGCCGGTGGTACACCGGATGCCAAATCCACTGAACATTGCCCGTTAAGAGTACCTGTAAAAGAGAGAGTGAAGCAACATTGTGGCGAAGAGAAGAGAGATTATCAACTAAAGGAGGAGAGTTAATAAGATGAAATGCCTTTGATTTCACCCATCTAACAGTTGGACAGAAGAAGAGCCACCCCAGATATGAGAGTAGCACTCCAAGTTAGGATGTGACAAATATCTGGATGAACCATTGGACGAAAGCGCGTTACAGGATCAAAAATACAAAAAGTCTCGTTTGAGTCCTTGATACAGCGCAGAATATTGTTTACTCCTAAAGAATGAAATGATGAAAGAGTAAGGTGTATTGCATAACATGGTTGAAATTCAAGTGAAAAATTCTCAATTAAAGAAACACCTCCAAGGTTATTTGTTATACATGATATCTTTGTCATAAAAAGCATGGAAAAATCTGAGGCAAGCCGAGCATCGTAAGTGGAAGAAGGCACAGTAGTTCCACACCCCCGGCCCAACAACCCATTCATAACTGCATAAATTTTTTTCTGATCACCATGTGCCATCACTGAACAAACAACAGCCCTACATGCAGATTTATACTCTAATCAAGTATGGTCTGTTTGCCGCCTATACTTCTCTAATTCAGCACTTCTACAATCCCCAAAAAGAGAACTTATAGACGAGTCATACCATGGCGAGTCATCTTGTACTCTAATTTTTTTAATGACCTCGGGACAGTAACGGTCTGAATGAACTAGAAGATATCATTATGTAATTTAACCATCTCATCAGAGAACAAAACAGAGGAGTCAACTCAGTTCAAAGAATGATCGACTTCCTGATTAATCATGGTCTGGTCAATATTTCGATAGTTCCCGAAGGTAATTGTTTTATTAATTGTTGAAGACAGTTGTTGTGCTAAGAACCAACCATCTTGAGCAGTGACAGCAGAGAGGAATAAGACAAGTAGAGCATTGGCAACAGTGCTTGGAGGCTGCTGATAACGGTTAGTTGGTCTGCTTTGTAAACAAGCACCAGGAATTTAATACAACACAATAACTCATCTGGGGTTGGGTATGGGATTTTTTCCAGGAAAATTGGTTATTTGATAATATTTTATTAAACTGGCACCAGATGAATGTAAATACAGTCGGCCCTTAACATACGTGGGGGTTAGGTAACAGAGATACCCGTGAATGTTAAAAATCCGTGTATTGTACTTTTGCTGCCCCCCCCCCCCCTAAAAAAACCCTGGCCCCCCTATGTCCTTATTTACCGTATATACCTGTGTGTAGTTCGAGTTTTTAAGACCAAATTATTTGGCAAAAAATTGGGGGTGGACCTCTAAACGGGTCTGTAATAGTTTCGTTAGGTTGAAAAATATTTACCAGTAACTACCAGTAAACACTGGAAACGACGCACCAACGCACCACCAGCTGTGAGTGTCGGTACAATTGCCAGGGCAGATCTCTTGAGTCATCATAGCAAGCCCAAAGTAACCAAATGCATGGTATGGTATACACAGGACGATGTAAAACAAAGTATTCATTTTTTAAAGTTTATTTATAGATACTGTACATAAATTTTTGTTCATTACATTCGAAACATCAATTTTTGTTAATTAAATTTGAAACAAAAGAAAACTACGATACCGTATTTTCATTAAAATATTACATCACAAGTATATTTTACCTTAACTGTGACTGAAAGAATATATTCTCAGAAATAAATATGGAAATGTAATATTTTGGCTGAAATGACATACATATTACAGTGGAAAGTGGGATAAAATCATGACGAAAACAATGACTTTCGCTTTCTTTCGTTGTTCAAAAGATTTTACCGTAATCGCTTTTCGAATGGTTTTCAGTTAAAAAACTGTTGTACTGTATTACAATAATATTCTATCCTATCATTAGCCTCATAATCCCACAACTGAAAACCATTCGAAAAGCGATTACGGTAACATCTTTTGAACGAAAGAAAGCGAAAGTCATTGCTTTCGTCACAATTTTATCCCACATTCCACTGTAATACGTACGTCATTTCAACAAAAATATTACATTTCCATATTCCCAGAAATAAATAGTAGTTTTGTTGAACGTAATGTACAGTATTTAATATTAAAATGCAATAAGAGCTATAATAACAATTAATACTGTACACCCGTAATGTACTGGCTGGCATCTCCACACACACACAGTGATCCCTCTGTTAACGAAATTTCGGTTAATGAATTACCTTCCATAAGATTTTTCACTTCGGTTAACGAAAAAATTTCGGTTAACGAATTCCTTACGAATTTTTCCCAACATGTTTTCACCTGCTTTCGTCTGCTCACCAGCTGTAGTATTAGTCCGCCAATACAGTAATCAGTTTTAGGGCTTAAATTCGTTACCATTTGAGTATATATCAAGAAGGCTGTACTATTCAATAATTTTCCAAGTCTTTAAGTTTTTAGTCATTTTAACAATTATTTAACATAATTGAAGTACAGGGAACTAGTTTTTAGCGCGCCAAACAGCCACTTGACTCACCCAAAATGGCGTCAGTGTGTGTCCCTGCTCAGTGGTGGAAGCTTCTTGCTTGAGACTCTCTTGAACTATTTTTATGTTTTTACAGTACAATTATTGGTCATTCTGAAGTTTATTTTACATATTGACAATATATAATGCAGTGCAGTGTTGATTTAAAGAAAATAATATTGAATTACACCAAGCAAACTAAAATTTTATGGGTGAAATGGCGGCATGGGGTGACTTCTCTTCCACCCCAATGCCTCTCTTCTCTCTACTCCCTTCTCCTCCACCCCCATTCTAATTCCCATCATCATCATCATCAACCAGGAACCTTCTACATGCACACCTCAAAGTAAGTGTACTTTAATGCATTTATTTTTAGTTTGTATGTACTTTTCCGTGAGCTGGAACCAATTACCCAATATCCCATTGAAATAATGGATTTGGTTAATGAAATTTTCAATTAACGAATGACTTTGTGGAACGAATTGTGTTCGTTAACCGAGGGACCACTGTATAACATCAGAGAAAATGGGAGAATTTGGGCAATCAGTCAACTGGTTGAGTGACTGTTGGGGGATACAAGTCTACTTGTCCCCAATGAGTTTGAGGAGTAAGTTACATACTAATTGGTAATTGTAGGAGAGTGATGACACACTGAAAGCTTGTTTGCAGACTTAATAACACTGCAAGTGTTCGAGAATCATGACATGAGTTTGTGAAAAATTAAGCACATTGGTAGAAAAAAGCATTATACTGTATTAGCATATTTTCATTATTACTTATGCAAAAATGACAAAAACTTTTTCTTTTCATAACTTCAGATTTTTTGTTAGTTAATCGAATCATAGGACATTATTTTTTGTAACTTCAGATATTTTATAAACTAACCTTCATAAATTGGGAAATGCCTGTACTAGGGTCATATAATTATTATGCAGCTTGGTTTAGACTTTCAAATGGTTCACTTTATATCCATATTTCTCCAGTCTCTTGTAAGTACAGGTACAAAATTATTAGTTTACAATAGTGTATTGTAATGCGTGTACAGTACAGTATTTCACTTATTATTTTTATTGGTTTATAATCTGAAATATTATTAATAGTAAGTGATATCCCCATTAGCCAGAACAATTGGTGCAGAGCACTTCCGGAAATGAAAGATTTCTGGGAACCAGACGACTTTCTCAAACCCGAAAAAATTCCTTATCTCCGGAATATTTTCCAGTTACTGGGAAAATTTTTCGAGTGTCTAAACTAGACATCTTGCACAGACACTAGCCCACATCCCCAGATCTTTTCTGGGTAATAGGGAATGTTTTCCAAGAGTTGAAACTACTGAAGTCCGTAAAAGCAGTTCTAATTAAGTTAAAATCTCCATTTCTTTACTAGAATAATCCAAAATAGTTTATCTAAAAGTTTGGTGAAATAAAAATATTTAAAAACTAAAAATCTATACGAAGCAGACTGAT